ATATTCGTAATAGGATGTTAAACTACCTCTATATACAAGTTTTTAGCGATTTGGTGACTTAGGCAATTCTTAAAAATGAGCTCGGTGCCGAAATTTCTGGAGTCCAACGGCATTAGCCACGAATTCTCCCCACTTACTACATCGACACCTACACTTTCCTCGTCGGTGTTCTCTCAAATCGCCGAGTCATCCGAATGCCGAATCTCCTCAGTCTAAAAGTATGAACGAGAGCTTGATGACGAGGAAATCCATAATGTAACATTGTCAATGACACCTCAAGACCAGAGGACATTAACGAGATATGTGACGTCAAGGACACGTCATCTATCACTTACGGGTAGCGAGTTAGACCGCATTCCTCTGCTACAGAAGCTATTTTTTCGGATCTATTAATACTTTCTGAACCTATTGTAGCCCTCTGTTCACAATACTATGGACTGTTTTTCTGGGGCACAATAAGTTAAAGAATGCCTGGTTGATCTACAGGTTGTGAATATTGCTGAAGTCCTTGAAAGCCATGACTAACCTTTTTCTCTGTCGGTATAGTCTGTGCCTTCTCTGGTGTCTCTCGATCGGATGGCAATTCAGCTTCACGAAGTTGATCAATGAACTGCCTTTTCACCCTCTGAAACCGCGCTCATGCTCGGCCGCTTCGACAGAATGCATACTCCATATCCCGCGACAGGGAGGGAGTGGCTGCGTGCTTTACTTGAAAATTGCGACAGCTCCGCTCCTGGTGGGATATTTTCGTTTCAGGACAGCTGTAATCAGGTTTTTGTTCAACACAAGGAAGGATGACAGTTGCCTCGGAAATATTCTGAGAAAAACGCATCCGGTGCCCTGATCCAACGAAGTACGCAGCAACGCCCTCCCTATTTCCGAGGTGTGGAGCATGCATGAAATTCTCATACCATGTACATATTGTCGATATTCCCTCGTTTCTCAACCAAATCTGGCTGTACCACCATTTGTTTCTCGCCAGCAAGCTTTTCGTAACGATTCGGCGCCCGCTGTACAACGCTTGGCTGGAAATAGCTCCTGAATCGCATGAATCTTGGAATGTTGTGAAACAGTGAAGAACATCCTCAGAGATGGAAACACGTAGTCACTGGGGTCAAAATGTAAACTGCTAGGTGCTGTATGACTCGGCAGTGAAGAAAAAAGCTAAAGAAACAGCTGGTGAATGATCCTGTAAGGCCACTTTTGACCAATTTTTGAATATTTCTCTTATATTGTTATTCTGTTATTATTTTTCTCTATTATATATCTAATATTTGAACCCGGCCTTCGCTCCCGGTCTATTAGTCCCTCAGATTCGAGAACATCGGAACCTTGCGTCTTCTACCATAGAAATCCTACTAACTCCAGATGAGTTTTGGAGCGCATAAAATGATCTTTGGGCACTGTGAGAACATTAGG